TGATACATAGAACACCCCTCCCCTTCCAGTTCGTAACCTTGAGGCGCCTCGTTAAATAAATCAAAGTATAGCCGATTCGGTGGCCGAGATCGTTAAGACAGTAGATTCATACGGATCTCTAGTCGAAGGATCACGGGTTTGAGTCCCGTCATGGGCATGGTTTTATTTGTGTTCGTTCTTTCAACCTCCATCACCACCAAATCATTTCATCTAGTTCACAGTTATCCATAACGCATAACGTTTAAACCAATAGTGGCCGCTAATGACCTAGATGTTAATGCGACCTTAAATAACAAAAAAGAAAACAATTGGTTTCGTTAGCTTTGTATTACTTATTATGTAAAGTCATTGGTTCCTGACTCCAAATTCACCTAACACTCGACAGTTAGTGTATTGAGGTGAACTCCGAATGAACAGTTTCTTACGTGGTGTACGATGTTTTGTTACTGTTACATCTTAACAAGACTACAACATGGTCAATAACGCCGATACGTTATTAAATATGTTACATCTCGGAGGTTTTAGTGAGATTGACACCAATTATCTTGTGTAACATCAATTTATTTGAATGATGATGTTTTGACAATGCCATTTCGGACATGTTTCTTGCCTGTCACACTGGTAAGTTTTTCAGTTACAGACACAATTAGTTTCGTCCTGTACCATTATTTTTACTTAGTTTTTATCATATTTTAGATTTCTTAAAGAAGACCTTAATCTTTAGGGTCGAATTGTCGTGTAGTTCAAGAATAATATATGTGAACTTTTATGTTTCTTACTTTTGGCCATACAATTATTTTAACACATCACAGACTAATATAGTATTAAAAATAAACTAAGTGTAAGAGTACGCACCTGTGAGTCCCCGGGCCAGGCGCCGTCCCGAGGCGACGCCGCCGGCCAGCCGCCGCGCGACGCCCGCGGCCCCGTCCCCGCCCCGCACGAGCCGTGGTGCGTGGGCGAGGACGGCACGGAGCCCCACGAGCGCGGCGGCGCCGCCCCTGCCAGCGCCCCGCACGACCGCGCCTCCGGCCGCCACGAGTGCCTGTCAACACCAAGACGGTTGGCCACCGCTCACGGATGTACCTGCCTGACGGCAGTTCACAAAACAGGACACAAAAGGACAAAACAGAAAAGATTAGACAGGACATGACAGAAAAGATCTAGACAGGACATGACAGAACAAGATCTAGACAGGAACACCACTGACAGAAAATAATCAGGGTTATGCAACAGGCACATTGACAAGAAAATATTTCGTAGGGGACGACGAGAACATGACCAGAAACTATCTAAGACAGGACATGGCAGAAAATATCTAGACAGGACATGGCAGAAAATATCTAGACATGGGGACATGGCAGAGAATATCTAGACAGGACAATGACAGAAAATATCTAGACAGGACATGACGAAATTATCTTAGACAGGACATGACATGAAATATACTAAGAATCAGGCACAACTCGACAGAAAAATATCTAGACAGGACTGACATAGAAAATATCTAGACAGGACATGACAGAAAAATATCTCAGACAGGGGACATGACAAGAAAATATTACGCACAACGCAGCATTGAACAAGAAAATATGCCTAGACCAGAGGACATGACCATGACAAATCATCTAGACAGGACATTTGACAGAAAAAATATCTAGAAACAGAAACAATGATAGTAAACAGATACTCAGACAGGAATATAAAGGACAGGGCAGAAAGTGGTAGTAGAATCTACGATAAGGAAAAGATCAGTAGAAGGAAGCGAAATGGAGAGAGCCAGGACAGAAAACAGACGGCATGGCACAGAAAACAGACGGGGGCAAGGACAGAAACAGAACGCGGGGCAGGACAGAAAACAGACGGGGCAGGACAGAAACAGACGGGCAGGACAGAAACAGACGGGGCAGGACAGAAAACAGACAGGCAAAGAAGTACGGGGGTAGAGGACAAAGATGGGACGGAGAGGTCAAGGGGCAGGAGTCGGGGTGGATTGAGGGGTGGGAAGGGTGGGGCAGAGCGGGAGAGGGCGTGGAGAACTCTGAGTCGGATCCCGATTTAGATAAACCTCCGTCGCAGCGATTTTATTTCAGATTCCCATAATCATAAAGAGCCGTCATTCAAAGCGGAAATAAAAAAAAAAATCTTGTCGGCCTCTCGCTCTGCCTCGTGGAATGCAGCTTTGTTTTGGCGCGCTGCAATACGCGGCTCGTCTGACACAAATCCGCGAGTAGTGGCACACGCGGCGAAGGCAAATCCTGACCGAACGGCGGAGACATGAACAGAGCGTGTGCAAACCAAGCGCTGCGAGATTAGGGGTCGCGTGATGCAATTACTAGAACGTCGATGCCTTTCACACTAAATATTAGGTTCACCTCTACAGCTCATGTAGAATTTGGAGCAATCAAGGTTTCGAGGTTCTCCGGCACAGAATGTTACATGCATGTCAGTGCATCGGCACAATTGCAATGGTTGTTCATTGTTTGCGTTTCTATTATCGCGAAACAGTCTATGAAAAGGCACCCAGAACACCCAGTCTTCAGGTCGTTTTTGCGGATTTCCTTTCTAAATAGCAGTGAAACAGCTTGTATTAAACAATGCACAAGACTTCAGCCCCAGAGAGTTTAAACATGACGTAGGCAATAAAAAACTTTATGTAATTTTTGGTTTTGGGCTACGAAATTTATGAGATCTGAGAAAATTGCTATTTCGTTCCTTCGCTGCACAAGTCTTCACCGTGTGGCCAAGCCGGGAGTTTACGTGAAAGTCTCAACTTGGAGCTTTCAGATAGTGAGCCTCTAAGCGAACCTCAGAAGCAATTTCAAGGAAAAGGCTTTAATAATTCCAAACGCAGTACACACAAAAGTAATGATGTCTTACATTTCGTAATAGCATGAAAAAATTATTCGTGATTTCAAACCCACATACAACCTTATGAATAATTTTGTTACGAGTGACTCTTGTTCAGCAGGCAATAAAAACTTTATTTATATTATTAAGAACACTGAAATAACTAATATTTAGCATAGTGGTACACATTCAAGGGGCTTGAATCCTGCTTTATTCCGTTCTTAATTTATGAAAATCCTCCGTACAATGGCGTCTTGGAATTCTTCCGAGGCAGTTCGTGGTCTTTAGAGGGCAATATCTACTGCCACACAATTTAATAGCGACGAAATTAAATTTTGTACTCGCTAAAAAGTTTCTCAAAAACATTCGTTTTTAGAACAAAGAAATACATGATCAGTGTACAGGATGTCTAGAGACGAAACACCGAAACTTCGCAAGCAAGCTCTTAAGATAATTTGAAGCATATTTTGTCGAATAAACTACGTGAGTATTCCGAATGGCTGAGACGCAATATACACTCAAAATTTGGTTTGAAAAAAATATTTCTAGACAAAAAGTTGTATTACAGAAGCTTGTAAACTTTCTAGAAGTATGTAAATTGTATATTAACTACAAAAGAAATGAATATAACAAGAAACTAACAAAGAAATAAAAAAAACATATTGTCTAAACTTTGTGTGTGTTCGCTCCCTGAGACCCTTCCCAGATCAGACCTACTCACTCCACCTCACTCTGGTCAAACACAGGGATAGAAACAACGCTGTACAAAACATTCCTTGATATTGTAATGGACCACACGAAACAATTTTTTGCCGTGCCGCTGTGAGTCACACTATCATAGGGGGGGGGGCTGCCGTCTCACTGAAGGTGCGCCGGTCGTTTCCATATACCAGGGGCACGCGCTAAATTTGTTAAGGAGGGCGCCAAGCGTATGCCTACCCGTGATCTGGGTGCCGGCCATGAGACATCCGCAGGGAAGAGCGCCCTGGGTCGAATGGGTTGCATTTGCTTACTAGCTATTAAATAATGCACATTTTTCTTGTGTGGCCACCCGACCAAAATGGCGGGGACACGTAGCGAACGTAGCCGTCTCACCTGCGCAGTTTGCCGGTGCTGGACGCGCCCTCCAGGGCGGACAGCGAACCCCGGTAGCGCGCAGGCGCCACCGCGCCGCCGCCGCCACCGCCGCCCGCGCTGCCGCCGAAGCCGCCCGACACGGAGGAGTAGCTGTCCCAACTGCCGTGGCGACAGC